GATGGGCAGGGCTATGTTTGCGTGCCCCTCCCATTTTGCACCCCCCCAAACCCTCCAGGTCCCAGAGTAGCCCTGAGTTTATCACACCATGGACAGTTGTGCTCCGTGGAAAGGCCGGTGACCACACTAGTCAGGAGTGGTGGTGGAAGGGAGCGAAGAGGAAGCGATTTTGCTCATGAGCTCTCCTCAGAGAGCAGCAAACAGCAGGACACCCTGGGATTGGCGCAGGGCCAGGCTGTGCTCCTGTATCATCTCAGAGACGGGGCCAGGACGCAGGGTACACTTCTGGGCCTGTCACCCAGAGAGGAGCAGCTGGTTCTGTTGCCTGAGCAATAGCATTTACAGCGCTGCTTTGAAAACACAGGACGGCAACTCAGCAAATGTCCACTGCCTGGGGCGGGAGCAAACCAGTGGGCTCACTCTGGGGGGGGGGGGGTAGGACTATTTGCCCTGCTGATGGTACAGTGGCAACATGGGCCCCCACACCCGAGGCTGCTTCCACTAATTTTGGGCTGTAGCAATCAGTCTGCCCTTCCTGAGCCTCTGCTACCCCCATCAGGCCCTTCTGAGGTATAGCAGCCCATTCTCCTTCCTTGGCCCCCCACATGCCGACACCAGCTCCCTTCCCCTCTGTGACCCTCGGCTGCCCTCGCGCGTCCACTTCCCTCCACTGAAGTCAAACTGCAGAACCTCCAGCAGCTCAAATCAAAGTCACTGCCCTTTGTCAGAGGGCTCTGTGCGGCTGGTTGTGCATGTGACCATGCTGAGAAGATGCAGGAAATGCAGAGCTGCTGAGAACATGATTCCCCTGGGTCAATACACAGCAGGGAATGGAGCTGCCTCTCTTGTATTTAGTTCACTTGCACCACTAACTTGCAGGCGCCTTTCTGCCCCAGCCGCCTCCCACTCACCGCCTGTCCCCACCGATCTGCTTTATGACCAGGAGTGTTTACAGGCAGCTAGTTAAGCCCTGTTGACAAAGTGTATTTGAAACCGAGAAGCTACCCGACCTTTAAGAATTCACAGGTCACTTGTTAACTTTCACTTCTTACTGAAACAACAGGGCTCCCTTGGAGTTAGATTTGTCCCTTTCCAGGTAACAGGGCATTTCCAGCCTGAAAGGCACCTGTGAAAATACCTTTGTAAGGGTCCATATGTGCCATCTCAGGGACCCACGATTACATGTGCTCCGTTAACAATTAAAAACACGGGTTTGTTTCCCAGCTCCTGGGCCTGTAAACGGAGCCTGGGCTCTGAGAATCAAGCTGGGCCTTTTCCTCCTTAGGCCTCATGGCCAGCACTCAAGGGCCAGCAGGCTCACCAATGCTCTCCCTGCCACGTGCGCAGCCGTCCTATGGTCTTCGGTGCATTTGCACAAGTGTCACTGATTGGAGCTGAGTAACCAATCTGGTAACGAGATGAGCCGGGTTTAGCAGGCACATGGAAGACTCACTGGCTGCTTGCCTGGTGCCTTTTTGTCCTGGTTCCTTATTGTAACCCACACACCTGTGTGTGGTGCTCTGTCCCAGCTAGTGGCACCGAGTCCACTTAGAGAGATTAGGAGTCTGCTCTACAGCCTTAGCTAAGAGCCAGATGGCTTTTGGCTCATGCACTAAGCTCCAGAGAGGCCCCAGGTTCGATACCACCCGCCGCCGACCGGGGCCTGTTGGCGTTACATTGCCATGCTGTCTCTCCTGCGCTCAGGTCATTTCGAGCACTAGGAAGCCATGGAATGGTTTCGGGAGGTAACTTTTCGGAAGAGCTGGTACATTAGCCGGAAGGCACTGGCTGGGTTTTCTCATCAAAGCCAGTTCTTTCAGCCTTTCCCAGCACTGAGCTGCTAAAACGGGGATGATGCAATTTCCCACCATTCGTTTTGCTGCTGTTGCAAAAAGCAGCCTCCAAGGGACCTTGCGCCCTCGGCCACAATCGGCCCGGCTGTAAGTGAGCATGTGATGTGTCTCCAGTAGAGCTGCACTAGCTTATACCAGGGCTGAGTGTTTCCCAGGTCGTTCTCCCGGCTGAAGCAGTTGTTACATCCCCTGAAAGTTGTTGTGGACTACAAGGCTCCTGCAGATTCCTAGGGTCTGATTCTCAGTTCCTGTGCTTGGGGCAGAGGCTGAAGTTAGCCAAGTGAAGGTGGCTTTAAGCTACCTGTGCAGTCTCTGTTCTCTGGCTCTTCAGGGCCCTGTCTGGTCCTTGCTGTCAATTACAGCAACCTCATGGCTGCTCTAAATTATGTTCTGCTTCCCACGGCCTCTTCTGGAGCTTGGAAGTAGAGAATAAATTGCAGTGGGAATCTGATTGGTGGGAATAATTGGGAATCAGGCCCCAAAAGGCTGCATTGTAACCCCATGCTCTTAAAAAGCAAGGAAAGACCGGCCAACATTTTCATAGCTGAGAGCCTCCAGAGTCCATATTTAGGCATGTAACTAAAGGCCTTTTCAGCAGGGGAGTGCAGGTGGGAAATGTAGAGCTGTGTGACCGCGGTGCAGCCGGTGCTCACTTCCCTTCGCTTTTCCTTCCTCATCTAGGAATCGCTGACTGAATTTCTTGATTGGTGAATTTGCACAAAGGTTGATTTGCATCTACCGCCTGTGGCAG